AAAAAAAAAAAAAAAAAAAAAAACCCTAATCTCTATGAATCTAAGAGCTAGTAAACTTGGTAACCGCCTTAGTACCTTCAGAGACGGCGTGTTTAGCCAATTCACCAGGAAGAACAAGGCGTACCGCCGTTTGGATCTCTCGAGAGGTAATGGTCGGCTTCTTGTTGTAGCGAGCAAGTTTCGACGATTCCTGAGCGAGCTTCTCAAAGATGTCGTTGATGAAACTGTTCATAATCCCCATGGCTTTGCTGGAGATTCCGATATCAGGATGAACTTGCTTGAGTACTTTAAAGATATAGATCTTGTAAGTTTCGATGCTCTTCTTGGCTCTCTTTTTCTTCTTATCAGCGGCGTCTTTGGGCAGCTTCTTCTCGGCTCTCGGCTTCTTCTCCGCTGGTGCCTTCTCCGCCTTCTTCTCCTCCGCTGCCGGCTTCTTCTCGGCGGGTTTCTTCTCGGCCTTTGGCGCCATTAATTGCTGTGATGTTTCGAAATTGCTATGAGATTGTAAGAGTAGTAGGTTTGGGAATTGAGGAGGGTTGTTGGTATTTATAGATGAGGACGGAGTGATGTGATTGGCTAGTTTTGTTTAGACGCGGATTAGTGACGTGGACGGTGAAGATTTGAGAATGTGTATCTGACGGCCGCGGTTGATTTTATGGCTGGTTTTGGCGACCGATTTGAATTTTAGGTTCGTGTCTTTCCTTTTTGGGCTTCTTTTGAAAAATTTCAGTTTCGCGGGTCATTTTTGAAAGCTTAAAATATGTCGGGGATTTGGTAGCAAATAAACTTAACTTTGTATTTATGTACTTTAAAATATATAATTTTAGTATTCTTTATTTATTTGCATGAAAAAAATTATGTTATCATTGTTAAAAAATTCAAATTCAAATTCAAACTCAAACTCAAACCGTTAAAAAATACTCATAAACTTTTAAATTTATTGTATTAGATAAACTTTTAAAAAACCGTTAATCGATAATGACTTCATGCAAAAACAGTAGATAGCAGTGGTTGAAGGCAGTTTGGTTTGGGCATGCTAATTCGTTTCAATGAATAGTCTAGATGTAACAACCTATTTTTGTAGGTTTCTAGTATGAAATCACTGTAAGGATAGTAAGATTCAGACTACGTTGTTGATTAAATATCTAAGTCAATAACACTTGTTTGAGATTTGAATCACTCCACAAACAAGATTTTGATTATGTCAAGCTTGAATGATTCTACATGCAACATAAATTGCATTGAATTGCAAAGAAACTTAGTCAAGCAGAAATGCTCATTTTACTACATTTCTCCTGTCTCCTTTGCAATGATAATATACATGACTCATGTAGCTCAAAATAAAACCTTTACCTTACTTGAGTCATTATAATAGTCTGTAAATTTCATATTTTATGACTATAATTAGCTACTATGTATACATAATTATCCACCATCTGAATAAGCCTTAAAATACATCAAAATAAACGTTATAACTCTAAATTATGATCCATCAAAAGATTACAACAATGAAGTTTCATTATTCTTCAATTTGACAGGAATTGAAATATCTTTACATTTTCATTGAAGTATATTAGATAGCTACGTGTATTCAAGAACAACAAATGAAGAACACAGAAAATTAAAGTCAAACTTAAACAATAAACGGACATAAAAAGTATCACAAGTACAAAACATGTCTATAAAGAGAAAGAACCGTTTACAAAACAACAAGTTTTTGAGATGACAATAAAATAATATTAAAAATGCATAATAGAAGATGACTCGATTCAGAGGTCCCCTTGCTACCATATGGCCCCACACGTTCTTGCTATCGAATGATCCATATATAAATAAAAAATAGCATGAATGAGTATAAAAAGTACTTAGTAGGCATATATTTGTAGGCTCTCATCGAAACTTCTCCTATTTAGTGTTTCTTAAGCTATGTGCTCAACCAAGGTCCTAAAGTAGGCTAATTCCATAGATCAAGTTTATTTATAGCCCTCTCAGACTCTTAAGAATCATATACTTACTTTTACTCCAAGGGTGTAGGTCACTAATCAGAGCGTATTTGGGTTTTCAGGGTGCACAATGACACAATCGCATTTTTAAAAGGCAGCGGACTAGCGATTGTGCGGCACTCACTTTCCAACGACAAGTGAGCTAAGCTAATTTGTTCTTGTGTCGCCTACGGCCAAACAACGTATGATCGAGCCTCTAGACTCGGTTTTAAAAGAAGGTTTTAGAAAACGAGGGTAGAGAGAGATTTTTGAAAGAGACGTTATATAAGCAAGCAAGAGAGAGATAACAACGGCTTAACATATATAATCTTGGGTAGGGAGAAGTTGACAACTAGTCATATCCCCCTATAGTACATTATGATGCATTTCATGTTTGGCAGGCCTAGACATGATATTTTTGAGGCGTCATACGCCCTAGAACTACAAAAGTAAAAACACTAGAATGAAAAGACATGACAAGGGTTTGGCTTGCCATGGTCATGCGGCCATGGGCAACACGCCCTGGATGAGCATGACCGTGACACACAGCTTCTCATTTTCTACGTTCCATGGTTCGACCGGTCATCACACTTTCTATGCATAAGTTTGAGTGCCCCAATATAAATTGGGCTCCAGGGAAATTTAATAGGCACTGAAAAGTCGTAGCTTGCTATAGGTAACCTCTCAGTCTCCTGATATTTTCATATGTGCCTACTATTGAGCGTTAGCCAAAAGCTCCCCTAATGGCACCCAAAAAACTCCCTATCCTTATGTCTTTACAGGCTAGAGTAGTGCAAAATAGGCTCCCCACTAAGTACAATCGAAGCTACCTAAGTAGAACTTTTTACGTGTCACGGATTCTAAGTAGGTGACATCACATTCACACGTGCTAAGTAAACCCTCACTAGTTGAGGTGAGTTCATGATTTGCGACCCAATCATCCCTACATAGACTTAATCAACCCATGTAATCATAGCAAACCCTAAACGTGGCTCAAGGACAAAATAAAGATAACACATAGGCTATAGCTCACTAACATGTCATACACATCCTTCAGCTCACATAGCATCTAGTCCATACATCAATCACGATACAAACAAGTATTTCAACCTCATAACATGCACCTATGCGTATAAATGATATTAAATCATACATATCCGCACAAAATACATACATATCAAGCACAGTATGGTAAATCATAACATGTCATAACTTAAACGAAACATTCAAATCAATTAGAGTCAAAGTCTACATTGCGGAAGTCCTAAAACATGCGATCGAGCTAAACCATCACTAGTTCGTAATCATAGGCTTACCTATCCATTTTCATGCTCAATTCATCCTTAAATGATGCTAATAGTTCAATATTAATCGAGCTCAGACAAGGCGGGTATTTCCTCAAAATGCGTGTACCCATGATTGTAGCTTTTCTTTAATTTTTTATTTATTTCTTAAAGCTCCAGATGTTACACTAGGTTGGTTCAATAAACGATCTTGTTCGTTCACAATTCAACTTCAGTCAACCAGTTTGATCAATGGTTGAGTTGGACTTGATTATTCTTTATGCTTATGTTTTCATTTACTCCCGTTTGCCTCTTTTTAAGCTAAAATTACATTATATGAGTCTAATTTGTGTGCATGAAAATTTTAGTAATTGCATATATAGATGCACGATAATTACATTACAACGTAAAATAATCATCTATATGTGTACATAGGGGTTGGGATTTAGGACTTGGAACTACACAAGTAATTGTCAGGATGAGTGTAGGAACGGACCGAGGTTGAGGCCACAATATCATGAACCGTTACTAAAATGAGACTTGAGACTACACAGGTAGTTGACTCATGATGGTTGTCCTTGGTGAATATGGTACAGCCTCATGGCGACATAGTTCGTGACATGTAAGAGAATCGCTCAAAACTTTGAGAACTTCCAAGAAGCTTAGATAGATGAATTAGATCTGAATTTCTCAAAGAACTTCCTACATTTCGAAAACGATGGAGATTATGATCGAGGGTGATCGAATAAACCGTTATTAGGTTTGTTTTAAGTAAGATTAGGGGTAATCCAAAATTCATCCCCTACCGACCATCTCATTGGGTGAAACCAATCCCAGTAGTTTTGTGGAGATGAGAAGAAGAGTTTTGGGTCCGATGAGGTCCCCATCGTGCGGTCCAATGAACCTTCATTTCTACATAAATATGGTTAAGAAGTCGAGAGGAAGAATTAAGAAATTGGGAGCCTCATGTGAATTCATCCTTCCAAATTCATTTCTTAAACTTGAGGGTAAGATAACGAAGATATCACGAAGGAAATAAGGTTGGATAAGGTCTAAAACATCCCTACCAACGAGAATTTTTCGGTTTAGCTAAGATGAGAAACATGTTTTCTGGCAAACTCTTACGGTGAATATCTTGAGCTACGATCCACAAGAAGGTATGAAATCAATCTCTAGTCCTTCCTTACAACGTGGCCTTTAAGAAAAAGACAAGACTACCTTAATGGGCCCCTGAACAAGATTCACGGTATCTCTAGAATGTTCAAGCGTATGTTGCGATGTTTATGATACTTTAAATGACTTAAGCACGATACTATGAAACATTCACGACTTGGAATTGAGTTTAAGAAAATAAGTCAAGATTTATGACTCAAGAATACCCTTCGAGCAAGAACTTAAGAATCTAAGAACTAAGAAAATGCTGAAGGGACTAGAACCAAGGAGGATTACACACAAGCCCTAATTCTGCTAAGACAAGAAGAATGCTAGGTATCACTCAAGAATAAAGAACAAAGGTCATCAGACTTAGAAACTCAAGAAACTTCTAGACCTTCTATGGTACAACATGTTCATGACTTAAACTACTTCGCTTGGAATGTAAAAAGTCTTAGATGTAGGTTTTCAGACTACATCGTTTGGAAAGTAAGAAGCCTTGGACATAGGTTGTTAGGTTCATGTCTCGTACTTTAAATCCTAGGGAGGTGTCTCAGGGAACAAAATGAGAAATAAGAACAAGATTAATGATAAGGACTAATAATTACGGTTAAGGACTAGAACATGGATCAATATCTAAGTTTTCAAGATTAAGAACCCAGAACCTCAGAACTAAGGTCCTTAGATCGGAACCAAGATAAAGAATTTAGAACCAGTTCCAAAATCCTTGGACAAGATCACGACAAGAACTCAGAATAGAAACTAAAGATAAAAGTTTTCGGGTTAAGAACAAGAATATGACAGTGGGACACTCTAAAATACCTTAAAGACACGGTTAAGAGACGGCAAGTAAGTTACTTACGGAATATTTTTACTTATTCCTATTTTAAGAAGGAACGGATCAAGAATGGAATTGAATCGGAGTGAATGTCACTCCGTTAATTAGAACTAAATTTTAAATTTATAAATAAAATGTATTTATGTTTTGTTTTAAATATCATTTTTTTTAATCGTATTATTTTAAAAAAGAACTTATTTTAAAAATGTTTATCCATTAAAAATTGTTTAAATAAATAATAAAAGGACCCGCGAAACAGAGCCCGCTAAAATTAAGTCCTTGAAAATTTTTGACTGCAACGAAATTCGTCGAACCTCGATAACGCAATCTCAACCGTCCACGTCACTGATCCGCGTCAAAAAAATTTAACCAATCATTTCGCGCTGTCTCCATCCATAAATATCAAGTCCCTCGACCAGATCAACAGAACTCACTATTTGCTATCTTAAGAAGTCCGTCTCTCAGTAATCTCCAAATTCTTCAGTACCTTAGCAATGGCGCCAAAGGCTGAGAAGAAGCCTGCCGAGAAGAAGCCAGCGGCGGAGGAGAAGAAGGCTGAGAAGGCTCCGGCGGAGAAGAAGCCGAGAGCCGAGAAGAAGCTTCCCAAAGACGCCTCTGACAAGAAGAAGAAGAAGGCTAAGAAGAGCATCGAGACTTACAAGATCTACATCTTTAAGGTTCTCAAGCAAGTTCATCCTGATATCGGAATCTCCAGCAAGGCCATGGGGATTATGAACAGTTTCATCAACGACATTTTTGAGAAACTCGCTCAGGAATCCTCCAAACTCGCTCGCTACAACAAGAAGCCGACCATCACCTCTCGGGAGATCCAAACGGCCGTGCGCCTTGTTCTTCCTGGTGAGTTGGCCAAACACGCCGTCTCCGAGGGTACCAAGGCTGTTACCAAATTTACTAGCTCTTAGACTGATGAATATTAGGGTTTTCTCGTGTTAAAAGCGGCACGACTCTTCGAAATTGTTAAGTGAACGAGAATCGATTTATATAACGTGATTTCGTTTGTGACTTACTTGATTCTGGCCACATTGTTTAGATTGTATTCTGGATCTCTATAGACTTGACCTAATTTGTACTTCGAGTTTGTATTTTTGAGTTTGTACCAGACATTTAATCTCATTGCAACTCATTCTACGGTTTATTATGTTTCTATGATCAAGTTGAACAGATTCATCGCCTTGATGGTATACTAGTATAGTCTTGTAGTGCATAGACTGTCACGATCCCGATCAATATTCCTCATACCTGTCTTTATTGTTGGTTTCTCAACTTGAAACTTTGGTCCAGCCTATAATCAGCTTAGTTTGTCTTTGATCTTCTCAGTTCAGACTCCAGTGTGAATCATTTGCTCTTAGATTTCTTGCATGAATGTGCAAGTGATTGAACAGACTGTCGATTGGCCATCTGTTTTGTTAGTTGAAACTCTATGTTACTCCATAGACTTGCAAGATTGTTCTATGATGCCTATAGGATTCACCCAAACAAACCACTGCACACTGAGTTTGGCATATCTTCCATTTGGTGATATGGGTGTCAAACCCATAGGCATAGGCATAAATCTTGATTGGCGGTGAGGAATTGTTGCACTCCTGCCTTCAAACAATGAACAGAGCCCCATCGATCCAGAAGTTAAGCTGGGTCACATGGCCATTTTGGAGCATCTTATGTGCTAGTTGGAGCAATCTTAGGGAGAGGAATTAACCATTTGTTGAGCGCAGTTGTTGGGTTTGTTAAATCCTCGTCCGCTCATGCTACATACTAAGAACAGTTGTGGATACGGCTGATGCTTCACCTGAACCAGTTTTAGCCCTTAGCATACAACTTCAACTATTTTATTGACCATATGTCTCCGACTCCAATTAGCCCTCCCCTCCAATTGCCAATCACCTAACCTAGTGCAAGTCGGATGGAAAATGGTGTTTACTGTGGTAGATAGGTGAGTAAGGAACACAGCTAGAAATGATTGCTAATACCAGGAGCAAAAGGAAGAATTCGTTCAAGAAGGGACTCACATCTGATTAGCTAGTTGGTGAGACAATAGCTTACCAAGATGATAATAAGTAGTTGGTTCGAGAGTATGATCAGCCACACTTGGATTGAGACACGGCCCAAACTCCTACGAAAGGCCGTAGTGAGAAATTTTCTGCACCATAACTCTTTTTGTTGCATCATGCGCCTTGATGGGTGCGGTTCAAAAGAGGAGTTACAGATTTCCATACAAACTAGGCAAAATACACTTATAGTCCATGAAATTTAGGGTCGTGTTTGTTTGGTCCAACTATTTTAAAAGAAACACTTTTAGCTCATAAAATAAAAAAAAAATAGTTAGTATTTGAAACTAGTTGACGTTATTTGATAAAAATGAAAGACGTGATAGTAAGTTAACACCTGCTTGCTCAAATGCTACTAAAATAAAATGAGAAATTTTACGAGAATTGATATTAAAATTGGGGACAGAGATAGAGACAGGAAAGCATCTTTAAATGAGATTGAACAAATTATTAACTATATATAATTTTTAATCTATTTTGTGACATTCCCTCTCTCTCTCTCTTCCCCTTTTTAATTGGTTAATTATCATAGTAGCATTTATTTTTATCAATATAATATCTCTAGTTGACTAGAACAACGTGGTCAAGATTGTTCCTTTGACTTTAATCGATTAATTTTGACATTGTAGCCATACCAATTAAGCTCCAAAGACTTGATGTTGCTTAGTCGTGAAATGCATTGGATGATCAACAAAAATCCAAACAATCTCCACAAACAAATCTGTATTTTCCTCTGTAGATTGGAACAATCGAATGAAAAATTTCCACATTCTCTCGTGAGAATTCTCAAATTTCCTGTCCCACCATCATCGCTACACGCTGATCTTTCTCCATCAATCCTCAATTCTCCACTTTTTAAACGCTTCTCTAAATCTGTGGACATGATTCATCCATCGCCAAAACCCTGTTTGAAACCCCTCCAATCCTCTCCCTCCGATTGCGTTTGCTCCGAAAGAAACTTCGTTTTGTTTCTAGATGAGAGTCCTGGAAATTTCAGCTCCAAACGTGTACGCAACCTGTTCTTATTTGATCCAGATTTGTTACGAATTTGATTCTCTGTGTTGATTGTTTTTCTTTAATGGCTCTTTCGATCGCTACATCTGCTGTTTCTGCTACTCTTATTACATCTTCGTTAAATCATGTGAAATCTCTCAGAATAGTTCCGTCTGTAATTGTATCGGATCGAAACCCTAATTTTCTGTCGAGAAAATCGCACATTAGGGCATCGGCTATCCGGCCTGTTCGTGTGGCTGCTCCTCCAACACCGCCATCGACGGTGGATTCCGAGAAATCTGAGGCGGAGAATTTGGATGAAGTGGAAGTAGTTGAATTGGGCAATGAGAGCTCGTCTTCGCCGTTTTCATGGAGGGATAATTGGTACCCTGTTTCCCTGATTGAAGATTTGGACCCTGCTTTGCCAACACCGTTTCAGCTTCTGGGAAGAGATATTGTTCTTTGGTTTGATAAATCAAGAAGCGAGTGGGTTGCTTTTGATGATAAGTGCCCTCATCGCCTAGCTCCTTTGTCTGTAAGCTTCCTGACTTGTTCTTCCATTTTTTAGCTTTGTGAAGCTGCTGTTCTTGATAAAATGGGAAGAACTAAAGAATTTTATGCACAGAGTTTTGATTTTTTGCAAATTTTCCTTGAATAAACAGAAGATAGTTTAGTCTGATGAACAGAAGATAGTTAGTATGATGAAATCTTGCTTACTTTGACGCGTTAATGTTATTTTTTAGGAAGGGCGTATAGATGAAGATGGCAATTTGCAGTGTTCATACCATGGATGGTCCTTTGATGGGTGTGGATCTTGTGTTAAGATCCCTCAGGCATCATCAGAAGGCCCAGAATCTCGGGCTCATCAGTCGCCTAGAGCGTGTGCTACAAGGTTCCCTACTATGGTGTCTCAAGGCCTCCTTTTCGTTTGGCCGGATGAGAATGGTTGGGAAAGAGCCAATGCCACCACACCTCCAAGGTATTCGATTCGGGATTTGCAGTTCTTTTTGTGTATTCGTCTTGATTTGTAGTTTTCACAGTGATAGCACTTCACCATGATTGATCAATCCTTCATTGTCTAGGCTCCCTGATGACTTTTATAAGCCTGAGTTCTCATCGGTTACGATTCAGAGGGATCTATTTTATGGTTATGATACGCTAATGGAGAACGTCTCGGATCCTTCCCACATTGATTTTGCTCATCACAAGGTAAGGGAGGGCTGAAGTGAGGGATCTTGTTTCAATTAAACTTGAATTTTCCATCAATGATTTCGTTATAGATTGAACTATTATGCTTGTTTGTGTATTTCTGTTCCTTCTAGACCTGGGGGATGCTTCAGTGAAGCAAAATATATTACGTATCAAGAACCGAAAAACTTCGATGCTACCTGGCTAGTGCTGTTAAATATTTACTATGCTTTGGAAAAGATCGAAACAAGAATATTTCATAGGAAAATTCTGATCCAACTGTACTAGAAAGTTTGGTCGAAAAAATCACTATGAGATCCCATATTGGATGGAGAGGGGAACGAAACATTTATAAAGGTGTAGAAACCTCTCCCTAGCAGACGCGTTTTAAAGACCTTGAGGAGAAGCCTGAAAGGGAAAGCCCAAAGAGGACAATATCTTTTAGCACTGGGCTTGGGCTGTTACAAATGGTATCAGAGCTAGACACCGGGTGGTGTGCCAGTGAGGATGCTGGACCCCCAAGAGGGATAGATTGTGAGATCTCACATCGGTTGAGGAGGGGAACGAAACATTTATAAAGGTGTGGAAACCTCTCCCTAGTAGATGCGTTTTAAAAACCTTGTGGGGAACCCCGAAAGGAAAAGTCCAAAGAGGACTATCTGTCAGCAGTGGGCTTAGGCTGTTACAATCACACTTTTCTTTTGTTGAAAATCTCAATGCCTGAGAAAAACATCTTCACAGGTTACAGGGAGGCGGGATCGAGCGAAACCTTTACCTTTCAAGTTGGATTCTAATGGTCCGTGGGGATTTTCCGGTGCAAATAAGGGGAACCCAAGGATCAGTGCCAAGTTTGTTGCTCCTTGTTACTATATCAACAAGTAAGGAATTCACTCATTTTCATCCTGCAATTCTCATTTCAATAATGCATAGCTTAAGATTGTTGGAACCATCCTTTGCGTATTCTCTGATATTATATACCAATATTCGTGCTTATGCAAGTATGATGATCAGGATCCTCATGCAATGAGCAAAACATTAGTGGGTAGCTTAGCATAATAGCTGAAAGTTTATTGAGAATGTCACTTTAGTTTGGCTAGTGTGTCTGTCTGACAGGACACTCGTTAGTGCAACGGATGTGTTGTACACTAGTGGTATATTGAAGGTCCAACATTTGTTAGATAAGCATCGAACACTTGACTTTGAATAAATTTTGAGAGCAAAATAGATATCACTCGTTTTTTAAGAATACAAATCCTTCCCACATTCGTATCCGTGCTTCTTTGATGCTAGTTGATTGAACTTTAGGGAAGGTGTGAGGCAGAGGAATCTGTAGAGATGCTTAGAGAAGAGAATATGATGAATGAGCTTAAGAAAAAAAGAACAACACTAATGTAAACTTCTCTTCTCTTCAGAGTAGAGATCGACACAAAGCTTCCGGTAGTCGGCGATCAAAAATGGGTAATATGGATTTGCTCCTTCAATGTGCCAATGGGTCCTGGAAAAACTCGTTCTATTGTATGCAGTGCTCGAAACTTCTTCCAGTTTTCGATGCCTGGTCCTGCTTGGTGGCAGGTAAGCTGTGTGTGTTAATCAACATTATCTCTACTGTTGTTGATCATGCAAGCTGATATAATTTGCGGGATCACTGTGTTTGACTCACTATTTTTTCTTTCGTATTAGTTGGTTCCTCGGTGGCACGAGCATTGGACGTCAAATAAGGTATATGATGGAGACATGATTGTTCTTCAGGGTCAGGAGAAGATATTTTTGTCAATGGAAGATTCCACAGATGTAAATAAAGAATACACTAAAATAACATTTACGCCAACACAAGCTGATCGTTTGGTACTGGCGTTCCGAAATTGGCTGAGGCGGCACGGAAAGGGCCAACCTGAAT